GCAAATATTTAGGAGTACAGGTTGAACAGTGAGATTACCTTAGAGCCACGCTGTCTTTTCCAAATGAAATAGTGACCAGTGGACCTTGTCAAGAAAGAACAAAACAGATTTGCTTCAACACAATACAGAAGGGGTGGAGGTAGGTGGGGAGGTAGAGGTAGAAGAAGCTTGGCATCTAGATGATAAATGCTGATGAGACACGAGATGATGGACATACGAGACTTCTTTACACTTCCTTTCCTTTATGTTTAAAAATTTCAATAATACAAAGTTTTTGTTGATTTGCTTGTTTTTAAGAATGAACCAAATGCACTCCTGCCAGCCTCAATCTTGTTTGGAGGGAAACTCTATTTGAGAACTTCTCAGCAGTTAGTCAACTGTTTAACTTAATAAAGCACAATGTTCCCCAATTTTGCTTGTAAAGCTTTCATATTTGTGCAAAAAAAAAACATTTTTCATAAGTTATATCACATTTTAATCAAGATTACTAAAATTTAAACAATATGGAAATGTGTTAGAAGTGTACTCCAAAGATGTGAAGTTGGCTGGGTGTGGTGGCTCCCACCTGTAATCCCAGCACTTTGGGAGGCCAAGGTAGGAGGATCACTTGAGCTTCAGGAGTTCAAGTCAAGACCAGCCTGGGTGACAGTGAGACCCATTTCCTTAAAAAAAAAAAAAAAAAAAAAAAGGAAAGAAAGAAAAGAAAAAAAAAAGATGCAGTATCATTCATCTAATTTGTCTCTGATGGAATTTATCTGAGCCCTTCATCTTAAACTTTATTTTTAAGAGTGACTATAAAAATTTCTTCCTTGAAACACAATAAACCATAGAGCTGACAGACTTTTTTAAATTGAATATGTAAACTATATCCAATGTTTGCTATTCCACTACTATTTTTCTTGTTTTTGAGACAGAGTCTTGCTCTGTCACCCAAGCTGGAGTGCAGTGGCTTGATCTTGGCTCAAGGCAACCTCCACCTCTTGAGTTCAACAATTCTTGTCCCTAAGCCTTCTGAGTAGCTGGGATTATAGGCATGCGCCAGCTACCTGTTTTGCCATGTTGGCCAAGCTGTTCTTGAACTCCTGGCCTCAAGTGATCAGTCTCCCAAAGTGCTGAAATTACAGGTGTGAGCCACCAGTATCCCCGGCCCCATTCCACTATTTCGAAAACAAAAATATTTTGTTCATTTTTTTAAGATTCTGATTTTGCAATGTCACATTTGGAGGTTTAACTTTTTAAATACCATCTTTTCAACTTTCTGTACTGGAATAAAAACACATGATCATTAAATGAAGCCAAGAAGACACAAAATAGCTTTACACTAAAGCAGCAGTTTTCAAAGGGGCATAATTTATCTCCACCTGCAACCTGCAGAGGGCACTTGGAAGTGTCTAGAGACATTTTTGGTTTTCAAAACCTGGGGGGTGTTACTGGGAACTAGTAGCCAGGGCTGCTGCTAAACATCGTGCAATGCACAGGAGAGTCCTCCACAACAATAAATTACGTGGCCCCGGGCCAGGAGCAGCGCTGACACCTGTAATTCCAGCACTTTGGGAGGTTGAGGTGGGCAGATCCCTTGAGGCCAGGAGTTCAAGACCAGCCATGGCCAATATGGTGAAACACTATCTCTACTAAAACACAAAACTTAGCCAGGCATGGTTTTGCACTTTGGTAATCCCAGCTACTCAGGAGGCTGAGGCAGGAGAATCACTTGAACTCAGGAGGCAGAGGTTGTAGTGAGCAGAGATCACGCCACTTCCCTCCAGCCTGGGTGACAGAGCAAGAGTCTGTCTAAAAAAAAAAAAAAATTGTGGCCCAGAAAGTCAGTAGTGCACTAGTGTTGAGATTGAGAAACTCAGGTCTGGAGTAATGTGAGAGTGCCTGGAACTATTCACCAAGGTTGTCACTCCATGGAAAAGGCCGTCGTTTTACCCAGCTGGCACAACGGGTGCAACTGCATGAGTCAGTGTTCCAGGCTTTATGATGAGGGAATCCCTACAGGGGCATAAGAATGCATACTCAGTATGCACGTAACATGCATTAGCCTTTGCATTTTGTTGCCAGCAATCATGTTGCCTATACCACAATTTTCTACTTTTTTGCTTTTAATCTTTTGTGACAAATATGTATTTTATTGAAATGCTTACCAGTCTGATTTATTGAGTGTAGTGCAATATTGGGCTTTCTAAAGAACTTAGATGATTTATGGACCCAGTAAAACAGAATGGAATCCTGAGATGTATGGGGAAGGGGCTGGGAGAGGGGAGTGCCTGTTGGGGAGTTCAGAAGCTGGGTCAACCAGGAGGGTGCACTAGAGGATATGAGAGCTCATGAAACCCAGGGAGCTGTGAAGCCAGCCAGGTTGGATGGGGTCTGCTTCCCTAATCTAATTCTAGGGAATTTCACATGAATTCTTCAAATGGGCTAGGTAACTGCTGCTGGGAATTCTCCAGTGGAACCCCTTTGTGTGTCTCCCTCTAGAATGAAAGGAAACCAATGCTGAAGACCACAGGAACTTTTGAGGGTGGCAAGAAAATCAAAGACTCTCAGCTACTATCCTCATTACTAATTCATCTAGAAAGGTGTCTCATCAAATAGTGTCACTGGGTACCAGTAATCTTTCTATAGGAGTACAGTCCTCTTATTGATTCTCAGTGGCTCTCGACTGTGGATACACCTTACAATTAAATCAGGGAGCTTAAAAGAATCCCAACACTTAGGCCTCATCGTATAAAAATGAAATCAGAATTTTTGAGATTGGTGGGTGACAGAAAAAAATGGGAACCATGCTTGAAGAACAGAATCACAATTGCATCTCTAATTTTGGGAAATGTGTACTCTGAAAGTGCCCTAAAAATATATGCATATGTGTGTGTGTGTGTGTGTGTGTGTGTGTGTGTATGATAAAGTTTATTTAAAGATCATGCTGTTAAAGACCATCATCTTTGAAATAAAAAATTTAAAAATCCTGGAATGAAGATCCATTATACGACACAGTGACTATAGTTAATACTTTATACTTGAAAGTCACTGAGAGATGTTAACTGTTCTCATCACAAAAAAATAATGTGTGAGGTAGTCCATACATTAATTAGCTCAATTTAGCATTCTACAACATATCCATATTTCAAAACATCATGTTGCATACCATAAATACAGTTTTTGTCAATTAAAATTTGTGAAAATGCTGGAGGAAACAGTTCTCTTCAACACAAAAGGGAGTACTAAGAATTAACAACTTTGGGGAAATGAGAGGATGAAATATTAATTTTGAGGATGTTATCAGAATGACATGGAAACATGAAGATGGAAACACCATAAAAGGTTGCTGTGAATTTCACAGGGACCCTTAGTGAATACCAAAAATGTCCAGTTTTTAAAATTAAAATGGCCCCCAGCTTTAACCTTCTAAAAATGAAGCTAGAAAAGGGTAGGATGAGATTTCTAATATTGAAACCAATGAAGAGGAAAATTGGGTTATGTATTTGACCTATCACTGGACAGACTTTGTAAAAGGCTCTAACAAAAGAACTACATTGAAATACTGAGAAGAATGAAGGTCCTCAGTGAGCTAAGAGGGTTTATAGGAAATAGTTTTGACATAAACATTTTTATGGTTTAAAAAAATGTTGCTTTTGATAAAAGGCAAAACAGTCAGAAATGATAGTTTTCATGAAAGTCAATGTTTGCAAAGAAATCAGAAGGTCCAGTAGAGTTTGGGCATCATCTTCTGGCATAAGATTTTTTTCTACCTTAGAATGAAGGGTATTTTCATTCATGGTATTTTCAAAGTAGACTACGGACTTAGTTTTTTTGATAGAAATTTTCATTTTGCCTTACCTTGTGGAAATTCTGGTATATGAAGTCCCAGCATGTGTGTAAGACGATCCTAGGAACTGGAAAAAATATCATAGCTTTTTTCTTTTTCTTTTTTTGATACAGGGTCTTGCTCTGTCGCCCAGGCTGGAGTGCAGTAGTAATACAATATCACAGCTCACTGCAGCCTTGACCTCCCAGGTTTCAGTGATTCTCCCACCTCAGCCTCCTGGGTAGCTGGGACTAATGGTGCATGCCACTGTGCCCAGCTAATTTTTCTTTTCTTTTAGAAATGAGGTTTCTCCATGTTGCCCAGGCTGGTCTCAAACTCCTGAGCTCAAATGATCCTCCTGCCTTGGCCTCCCAAAGTGCTGGGATTACAGGTGTGAGCCACTGCACCGCATCAACATAGCCTTTAAAGTCATGGACATTATATGAAAACAAACAACAAAATCGCCAAAATGCCTGTTTCTTTACTCATAATTCCACTTGTTGAACTTGAACTTTCTTCAGCAAACTCGCAGAGGAATGTAATCAGGAACACGAACTAAACAACCGAAAATAATATTTTTCTGCCCAAGCTTGGTAATCAACACAGCAAACTCCCATACACTTATGGGACACATTAGCCCAAGGGGTAAAATTACAATGTGCAATCGTAAGCCCAAGCTGAGTCAATAACTACAAAATCGACAGTTTCTGTGTTTGGAAATTGTTGGTGGGTTGGCATGGGCAAGTTTAGTCAGTTAAACACATTTCTTCAGTTGTTTATTTGCGACGTTGAAACCATTTACAATACTTGATGGGTTTTCAAGGCAAGCCCACGTTGGCATCACTGTGTGGTAGCACCGAGCACCCTGCCTAACCACCCGGGACACACTCCCATCACTATCTGCCAAGTCAATACACTTCAGTCCCATGAGTCCTTTCCTGATTACAATCAATTTTGCATGACAACATTCTACTTCATGCTCCAAGATCTCGCTGATTTACACATTATTTTTTGAACCACCTTAAAATCCATGCAACAGATTTTATTATTTAACAGAGTACATACAGAACTCTGCTGTATGTAAAACAAAAATGCACATCATCTTTGGGACTATTTTACCAACTTTGGGGTCTTTATCCATGTTGAAATGCAGCATACTTAGAAATATGCAGATAATAAAAACTGACAACAATTGTGACAAAAATAAGGATATAATATTAAAATAAATGATATACAGTACTGTCATTATTCTGATACAGAATTTTTACACAGCAATATTGATACAGGTACAAACGGCAATCCATTACAATCGACCTTTCAGTTACAAACAAGGTTTAAGTTACAACTTAATACCAATTTAAAAATGGTAATTAGTGTTATGCCAGATTAAAATAAATACTTCCTCTTCCAGTGACATTTTCTAGAATATCTCTAAGTAGGAGACTTAAAAAAAAAAAAACTTTATAAAAAGAAAAAGAAGTTAATGTAATCTTTTATTTTTAGAAAAATCCAAATCTAGAAATCTGGACAAAATTAATTTGGCTTTCTATTCCCTCTGTCCACACACTAGCCCAGGAACCGAGGTGAAGTCCTCTTGGAGTGACAGGTTTAGGAAGGTTCCAGCAGCACTCCCAGCGTCTGCTGCACGAAAGGAGTTTGGAGTGTCAAGTTCAAATATACATTTTTTTCACTATTTAAATAGCAGGCAAAAAGCTGGATTCCCATCAGTGTTTCTGCCATCAAACTCAAGGAGATAAACCCTCCACTTTAAAATGCAAGAGGAGAGGAGAGAAATGGAGAAAAATAAAGTAAGGACCTTGAAATTCTTTGAGGTGGAAGAGGCAAGAGACCAAAAGTTGTATGTGTGTATGTGTGGTGGGGCACAAATGGGGCTTGGAGTGGCAAGAAAACAAAGTTTCTTTAACAAAATGTCAAATTCTTATTTTCCTAATTTTTGTGAAAATAAGTACATTTTTGACATTAAAAAAAAAAGTCAAAGCCAACCAAAACACAAACAGGGAAATGAGAACCAGTTCCATAATGCCTTACACTTTATATTTCCATCCAAAATTAAAATTCCCTTTGGATTAAAAGAAATCATTTAAAAATCAAAGATAAAAATGTTACTTGGAAAGTTGAGGAAGCAAGAGCATTTCTTTCTGGCATATTCTTTGTTTGGCACGATCACAAATAAGACTTTACAGATAAGATGTGACTATTCACATTTGGTTTCTACTCTAGAGTGATTACTTTCGGGCTAAACAAATAAATCGGTTAAAGGAAGTCCGTAAACAGGCCAAGCCTGGCAGACATGGGCAAGTGTGATGCATCCTCCGCCCCAAAAATGGAACCTAAATAAAAGAGAAAATGGAGTCAGAGCTGGAAATGTTTCAAAAACAAACAAACCCAACCATTCTTGAGATAGCTCTTTAAATAACAATAACTAGTGTTTATTGAGTGTTAGCTACCCATTAGGCATATACTCAGTACTTTTTACTTACTTATTATCTATTATGTATTTTTAAGGTAGAGTCTCAAAAATGCCGGCTCTGTCACCCAGGCTGGAGTGCAGTGGTACAATCTTGGGTCACTGCAACCTCCGCCTCCCGTGTTCAAGTGGTTCTCCTGCCTCAGGTTCCCGAGTAGCTGGGATTACAGGTGTGCACCACCATACCCAGATAATTTGTGTAGTTTTAGTAGACATGGGGTTTCACCATGTTGGCCAGACGGGTCTTAAACTCCCAACCTCAAGTGATTGGCCTGCCTCGGCCTCTCGAACTGCTGGGATTACAGGCATGAGTTACCACATCCGTCCTGCTCAGTACTTTTTATATGTTTTTCCCATTCTGATAATCACCCTGTAAAGATGGCAAGCACTTTATGCCCATTTTACAGATGAGAGGATGAGGCAGAGACTGGTATATTGCCCAAGGTCACTTATCTAAAACTTAAAGCTTGGCTAGCAGTGGACCTGAGAGACCAAGCTTTTAGTCCTCAAGCTGTACTACCTTCTACTTTTTATCATTTATGTCTTTTTATGGTATCCTATCATTGGAGCTCCTTAAGCTTGAACCTGGAATCATGGGCATGACCATGTCTATGCAATGAACAAATATAAACTCACCATCATTGAGTAATATTTAAATTCATACATTTGCACACAGATGCCAGGAGTCAAAGTGCTCGGAAAAAGACTTTAAAACGAACCGAGGAAAATCAGGAAGGAGGCAAGCTCAGTCTGCATAAATGGAACAAACCATGCAGCAGGGAAAGGTCTCACTGGAGAGTCACTCTAAGAGCCCAGCCCATGTCACCAGCCAAGCTGGGTTGACGAGGGTCAACCAACAGCGAGCGTGGTGGTTCTCTGTGCAAGTGGCAAATAGTGTACACTCCAAATATGTATGCTTTCTAGAATAAAGACAGAAAATATGATTTTCCCTCCCCTAAGGCATAACACATTCCTGAGAATATGCCTGTGTTACAGGTAATATGGAGAAAGTTTAACCCTAGGCCTGGAGCATCTGTGAAACTGGATGGCAAGTGACTCTGATTCAGGTTACAGTGAGAGAGATGAGTGACTACAGGCTCATGTCTCTGAGATGTTTCCATAGCTTACACATGGCAGAGGATGTGTTCTTCTTGCTCCCAAACTCAAATGCTTTACTCAACGTCATTCTAGTGTATGTCTCATTCTGTTCCACCAAAAGAGGCCATCCCACGTCAAGGATCTGTCCTCATGAGAAAATCTGAAATGCATCTTTTAGATGCCTTCCAAATAGATTTCTTTGTATGTTTCATGTAGCTATCAATACAGATGACCAAATCTGTCTACAGACAGTGACAGAACCATTCTAACCTTATTTTGGGGCTGAACTGATAGGACACACCCAACTCTGTGGTAGTTCAACAATGTAAAGGCTAATTCTTCTGGGCATGTCTTTCGGTGGTAACACACTCACATTCTTCTTACCTCCTTTTTCCTTTTCCTTCTCTTCCTCTTTCTTCTTTCCTGCCTTCCATTCTCAAAATTGTTCTGGAAGGGCCAGGGAGATGATTGAGATCAATAAATACAAAGGGAAGAAAAAGAGGCAATGGGAGAGCAGGGTGTGTATGTAGTGAACTGACAGAGCAAGATCTGGCCAAGCCATCCCAGTTCCTCTGCCTTTTTGCTATGTCATTACTTCCCAGGTTCTAATGACAGCATCTATATGCAGGCATGTTGACCACTGGATTAATATAGACTTGTGCTCAGAATGGTTCTGTCACTGTGTGAGTCAAAGGGAACTCTCGGGGCCAGCTCTTTTGCTGCCACCAAGAACACATCAGAGGAGGTGAGTACAGCTGGACTGGCTTAGACATTTATAAGTGGATAGCATGAGAAGTGATAATCAATGATCTTTATAGCCTACTCTGACCCTGAGACCTTAAGTTTCCTTTTTGCCAAGCCTAAAGTTGCTACATGGGCCAGTGATTCTCAACTAGGGATGACTGTGTTATGAGGGGACCTTTAGCAATGTCTACAAATGTTTTTTGTTTGTCGCAACTAAGGGCAGGAAGCAGGGTGCTATAGGCATCTAGTGAGTTGAGGCCAGGGATGCTGCTAAACATTTCACAATGCACAGGACAATCCCCACGACAAAGAATTATCTGGCCCAAGACATTAATAGTGCTGAGGTTGAGAAAAATAGACACAGAGAGCAATATCCAAGTGAAAGGAGCCCGAAGTGTGTCAGTGAAATACACCTATAATGAGCATGTCAGACTGCTATAAACAGAGACCACCAAGTATGTTTCTTTTATTCAGTCATTCAACAAATACTGAGTGCCGCCTACATACCAGGCCCTATCTTAAGTGCTGAGCATATAGCGATGAATAAGACAGGCGAGGCTGCGCATCACCATGGAGCTTCCCTCTTAATGATACAAGACAGACCACCAGTAAAATTGTTTCAGCTGCTTGCTGGTCAGTGCCCTCGTGCTGCCCACAGCCTGGTACTTTCTGCATCATGACCCTATGCTTATTCTCTGGCCTGTTGCATGGAGTGGGCAGTGCCTTGGGCCCAGTAGAAAAGACAAATCTCATGGATTGTGTGCCTCGAGTCAGCTCTCAGAAGGCATCCCAAACCTCAGCACCAGATTTCTGCTTTGTCTGCGACAGAGGTAAGTGGCTTCCTTCTGGGGTGGAGCAGAAGTCCTGGACTGAGGTTACTCAGCTGGAAGGGGAAAGTGCTCACAGTCAAACACGATCCTGCTTTCTTCCAGATTTTGCTCTCTTCTCAAACACCTCCAAGCCTAGACCCCCAACTCTCTAAAGAGGGGACCATATCCGTTTTACTTGTGAGCATATAGCTCTTAGCTTGGTACACAGAAAACACTCAGCAAATATTTGCTGTGTGCCAATCACATGTCCCAAAACGCCCCACAGAGTCTAGGAATTCCTCAAAGGGCAGCAGTGGGATGACCACCTGAAATCCCAAGGCTCCTCTCACTCTGCCCTGTTCAGCTCTGAGCAGGCCCAACATAACTCACACCACCAAAGTCAGAGATGGACTCACCACGAAGCCCAAGAGGCCGAAGCCCCTCTCATGCAGGGGTTCCTAGTCCAAGACCTAGGAGGGACCCCAGTAGTGTGTTCACAAGGTCATCTGCTTATGTAGAACTTTTAAAAATATCTTTATACTCTTTCTTTAAATCAAGGACATTAAGATTGTGTGAACATCACTCTGGATCTGCTTCGACTGACCCTAACATCATGATTACACTGAACTGCACGGCCCTTAATACCTAGGTGCTTTTTTCTCATTCAAACTCAGTTCACTCAGATCTGTGAGCTCCTAATGACAAGAACCATGATTTCCTTTTTTTTCTTTTCTTTTCTCTCTTCTCTTTGAGACAGTCTTGCTCTGTCACCCAGGCTGGAGTGCAGTGGCATGATCTTGGCTCATTGCAGCCTCTGCCTCCCAGGTTCAACTGATTCTCTCACCTCAGCTTCCCTAGTAGCTGGGAGTACAGGCACATGCCATGATGCCCGGCTAATTTTTGTATTTTCAGCTGAGACAGGGTTTTACCATGTTGCCCAGGCCTGTCTTGAACTCCTGGTGATCTGCCCACCTTGGCCTCCCAGTGTTGGGATTACAGGCGTGAGCTGCTGTGCCTAGCCAAAAGTCATAATTTCTGATATTATACACTTAGTAGATGCTTATTAATTTCTTGACTGGCCCACTCACTTCTGTATCTATGGACACCATGTGACAAAGCTAACAGGCGTCTCATAATCACAAATGCCATGAGAAAGTGCTTACAGAAGATGCACACTGGAATCACTTAGTCCAAACCCATGGTTTACTTTAGACTCAAGCAACGCTCAATCCTAAGTTTCCAATAGCCTAGAATTCCAAACAGCAAATTCTAGAAGTTACTGAGACAGAACATCTATTACTTTGAGAAAGCATGATTCTTATTCTTTTGCAGCACTTTTAAAGAGAAATTAGCACTTATAAAAGGGCAACATGAGGACCCTTATAGTAATGGAAATGTTCTGTGCCTGAACTGTATCAGTGTCAATATCCTGCTTGTAATATTGTAGTATAGTTCTGCAAGATGTCACCATTGGGAGAAACTGGGCAAAGCATATGTAATACCAAGGTTGAGAAAACCTGTATTACACTAAAGCATATTTCTGTCTTATAAGTCTTTTTGCTGAATTGAATCTGTAACCACAGCTATGATGCTATCCCAAAAAATAAACATAGATGCTGGTTCTCAATGTTGTGATAGGAAAGATGAGAAAATTAGCATATTATGCTTTCCTCCCCATCTTTTGCTAAAGTTTTAGTTATATTAGTTATATTTTATCAGTATTTAAAAAATGTTTTAACTTTAAAAAGATTAAAATTTTAATAAGTTCACATTCTGAAATTATAATTGTTTACATGGTTTTATCATAGGTTGGTTCTAAAATAGAAAACACTAATAATTTTAAAAATATTAATTAAAAAAAAACAAGTCCCAGGTTTTTAATCTGAATTTTTTTTCCTTCAGAAAAGAAAAATATATTGGTCAACTTTCTTTTTTTTTGAGATGAAGTCTCACTCTTGTCACCCAGGTGGGGGAACAGTGGCACAATTTCAGCTCACAGCAACCTCTGCCTCCAAGGTTCAAGCAATTCTCCTGCCTCAGCCTCCTGAATAGCCGGGATTACAGGTGCCCGTCACCACGTCTGGCTAATTTTTGTATTTGTATTAGAGCCTGCCTCAGACTCCCAAATTGCTGGGATTACAGTGTGAGCCACTATGCTTAGCCAAAAACAAAGGACAAAGTTAAGAGTAAATGTTTCAGAGACAATAACTTAAGTGTACCAAAGACAGCTCATAATTCAACAGGGGTATTGAATATAATGAGATCAATACTAAAGGCAGCTGGGCCTCTTCTTGGGAAGTTTGGCATTGAGACACACAACTAACAGTTTAAACCCCTTCTGTCCAAGAATAAACAATGTATGTCGTGTTTTCAAATGACAGTGCAGTCTTGCATGGTAAAACCACGGGAGGGATGGTTTAAATGTAACAGGAAGCATTTCACAAGGCAACCACCGGAAAGGCAAAAGCAAATTCAGTCTTTAGATAGGCCCAAACAACTGGAATCCATATTACAGCTTGCACAGCTAAACCTGGGCCAAGGGGCCACTATTTATTTCATTCCGTGCACTGTGAGGAGGTGAAAACATTAACTGTTCTCTGGGACTGTGGAGTATAGGAAAGATGTTTGGCTCTAGTATATTTTTAAACCCTAAATCACATGTGAAAAAATAAGACAAAAAATAAAATTTGCTTTGCTTTGAAAACATTCTACTTGTTTGTAAAAGAAAGCATACAATGTGTAGAAAGAACGAACACTCTAGAGAGACTGAGCTCTGCCTCCCGCAGGCCACCTGGCCTAGGACTTGTTGCAGTGCCTCTAGGGGCACTTTACCGATGGGAAAAATATGGAGGTGGGACCAGAGGAAGGCAATGCAAGCTGGCATTCCTGGGGGGCTCTGTTGAGACCACACTGTGTTTCAAAAGTCTTCAATCAGAAGGCCAAGAACTCTCTAGCTCCACACACCTTCTGCCTCCCACCCACCCGCTTCCACATATGATATAAACCTTCCTGACCCCTGTAGACAGGTGGGTCTGCAACCCTTGGGGACACAACCTCTCAAGCCCTGTCCAATCCTGCCATCCTATGATCATGCCACTACCGTTAATAACTTTTCAAAAGTGCTGTTTAGGTCACTATGATATTGAGATACCAGATAACATAGTAAATTGGAAAACTGAATATCAATCAATCCCTAAAACTATGAACACTGTACCCTGTAGGTGTTTTACATACAAGAGTAATTGCATAATCAATTTTCTTAAAAAACCCAAAACGCAGAGCTTATTTACTTCTGCCTTATCAGTAGATCTAATATTAAAAGCAATCTTTTCAATAACTTCTGTACTATGATTTCTGCAAAGGGGCATACTAGGGCATAATACTTTTTTGTTCTTAATAACTTTTAAGCAAATTCATGTATTGGAAATTATATTGGCAATATGCTTCTAACACCATGAGAGCAATAACATGAAAATTATCACTGGAACAAGAAAGGTAGATGATACAATTGTTTGAGATGAAAGGGGAGAGGAGAGGGGTATTTTCCACTGTTATCTTCGCTAATCTCCAATATTCATTTTGTTTGTCAAGTACATTACTTGGTCCTTCAGGTCATACAGACCTTGCTTAGAGTTATCACAACAGAACCACCATGAATACAAATATATATACTAACTTTACGAGTCAGTGGATGGCAGCTGTCTCCCAGTTTGCCCATAGGTGTGCAAATCCTTATGCTCTTAACCCAGATACTGACAGCACAGCACATGCCTCCACCACACTGGGAGTCCTTGTCACAAGCCTGAAATGTAATAAACAAACAGATAAATATAGATAACAGGAAAGACTCAGGCTAAGGAAATCTAAAATTAGCAGTGAAAATGCGCTTTCAATATCCAAACACTTCAACTTTAATAATCAGATATATTTTTAAAAAATGATAACCTTCATTTGCTTGTGTATATCTACGATAAAATCTGATCAGAATAGATATTTCTCATTTTTTGATATTAGATTAAATTCTAGCCACTGGATTATGAAAATCTTAAATAAACAAGATTTAAAAAATGAAATCAGCTCTCCTTTTCCAGGATTTTATGGCTGAATTGGCTTTGAACTTGAAGAACAAGACCATCTTAGTCTACACTACACATGGCCATTAGGAACTACATAAATCAAATCACAAGATTTTATGACTATTAACTGCAGAATACATTGGGCCCAATTTTAAAAAGAGATTTAAATAGTCTCTAAATCTGGCAAGAAATACTCCAGACCCATAAAGGCACTGATGTAAATTTTAGAAGTGCTCATTTTCCCTTTCAAATATTTGCATTTTGGTTCACGAGACTTGATGTTTCTCACACCACTGACTTGCTTTTTCACCATTTTCTCTTTAAAGAAATCTCATAGGTTGAGAATGGACAGACCAAGATGCTTGCCTTATATTACTCTTCCTTCAGGTGAATAAGCTGCAAAGAGCAAATGACTGGCTTCGGATAAACGACAAACACATTACAGAATCAGCTGAAGGATCCTGGAAGATCCATCAGATTAAGAAATGCAAGCGACAGGTGCAATTGTCAACAGTAATTACTCAAGGCACCTGCTTTCAATATAGAAAGTTGTAAATACATACAAAGAATCCACTATACAGGAATTTCCATACTCTCCTAAATAGAAATAAATAATGTAGTCTAAATTTATTTGCATGAAAATGGATCTGAAGAACTTTTATTATTTCCTAGAACCAAGAAAAAATAGATTGCTTTTGTTTCAACCATGGGCAGTAATCTGTTTTGCTAGTGATAAGATAAAAACATCCTGTACTATATACATAAGAAACTAAAACCTCTATAATTCAGGCACAAATTTAAATGTAAACTTAGTGGAAACAACTAAAACTGTCTTTCAAATTTCTCAGTTTTGAGGACAGTCAGAACTTCTCAGGACATAAAAATATGGACACATTAACATTATTTATCATTAAAAGTAACCAACTACTTTCCTTTAAAGTTCATTTACTTCCCTCATTAGAATTTCTCAATCTATTTAAAACAAGTATCTGGATAAAAGCTAAAAATTTCACTTTGAGGTATTTGGATTTTATAAGACAATATATAAATGTTTCCATCTTCCAATTTTTATCTGCATGCCAGAAAATATGTATATGTAGCCATTACATTCCATAAATAAGTCGTCTAGTCAACGATTTTTTACAATATAGTTTTAACAAATCTATATGGGCATATAAATCAATTTCAAAATACCTACATACATTACCCAAAAAAACTGTAGATGTGAGGCGGAAGTTTTAGCCAGTATTTTATTTCAACAGATGCTCAATACCCCAGATTTTGAGGCCCCATGAACTTTTTTTTAATGAGACAATCAAAAATCCAGTCAAAAACTTTAAAAATTCAATCACCTGGATGTTTAACATGCTATACACAATATACCTTGATAAGTCACTGAGTTTTTCATCTGAATCCAGATGGTTCCTGTCATGAAGACATAACTACATTTTATTGCCCTATTGCTTTAGAGACAGTTAAAAAATTCTCTTTTTGTAACACTGAGTTAAAATAACAACAAAAACAGCACACAAAACTATATAAGTCCAGTCTAAGCCTCTCTAACAGATAGACAGCCAATGTGATAAAATTTTATACTGTAACAAAAGCTTCAGTTCTTGGAAAATTTACAAGGAGTTGCATAGGTTTATATATTTTTAATTAGACAGCTGTTTCCTAATGCCCTTCATCCTTAACCCATTGCAACTCTATTCAGATACTGTTGTCCTGTGAATGGAACAAAAAGATACTTATATTGCAAGGGGATCTTGGGCTCAGAGGATTAGGAGAAACTTTAAATGAGCCAGCAGGGGAAGAGGGAGAAAAAAATCCAATCATGTTTCCATTCTCATGTATTAGAAAGACCTGTAAAAACTGTTTTTCAACCACATGGACTGGCAAAGCTATGCAAGTAATTTTTTTAAAAGAATCTCTTTTCTAATAAATACCACAGAGCTTACAGTTAAATATCTGTCGGATATACACAAATGCTGTCATATCATAAGAACCTGCAAAATGCTATAAACCTAATAACTAATATAGAGAAAATAGAGCTTTATTTTCTCAAGACAATGACATTTCCTTTCAAGTTAAATGTTATTTTATTATCTATGTATCAAGATTTCAAACACAGCCGTTTTATTTAAATCCTACTATGTGCACTTAAATATTTGAAGTAATGTAATGAAGGTGTGAAATAATTCCTCACTTAAAAAACAGTAAAGCTGCCTGTGTGCCTGCAGGCAGCAGTAAAGCAGGACATGATAGCAATTTTGTCTTGGTAATGTAAACTAGACATTTCAGTATTGTACTGCAAACCCATTCTTCAGAAACACACAAAATTGTTAGGAGTGGGAGAGAACTGAACTAGTTCCTACTTACAAAAAAGATGAAGACGTCTTCTCTAAGTTTAAACATCTACACAGCAACCTACTCCACCATTATACCAGAGCGCTGGAGGTGCTTTGCCAGGAATTAGAAATTTAAAACTTTATGAGGAGACCTCAAGACACTGGGGGGAAAAGCCCCGGAACCCAGAAGGAAGCGCTCACAATTGCTTTTCTAAGTGCGCACATGGCCCTAGACCAAGCGATTTCAAAGGGTTTCTGCGGAGGACGCAAAGGGGAGCAAACTTTGAATGTAGGATTAAGACTCCGAGCACTTAGGGATTCGTCTTGCTCCTTTGCATTTAAGGAAGGGGCCGTCAAATTTTAAGGTTCGAGGCTGGAGCGCCTCCAAAAGTACTTGAGAAGACTTGGAGAGAAACTTCTTTCAGTTTAACAGAAGGAAAACGTGAGGAGTGAGGCTGTGCGTAATAAGGAAGAAGGGGCAGAAAATGATGATAAAGGTAGTGGGCGACACCCTTGTCACTTTTCTTCCAGGACGCGCCCAGAGTCCCCAGCCGTCTGCTGCTTTTGGATATGGGCACTGTCCCAAGTGTGCCAAAGGTCAACTAGGGCAGGTGTCCCCTCCCAGGGCGACCCTCCCTTTACCTCTAGCCTGCCCTTCAGGACTCCATCCCAAACTCCCAGGCGCGCATCGGGGCGGACAGGTGTGCCCGGGCAGCTTACCCCGGTGATCACGGCGGCGTCCCCAGCACGGGGGGTGAGCAGCAGCGGAGGCAGCAGCAGCAGGAACAGGAGTGGGGTGCAGTGTGGGCTCCTCATGGTGCCCTCGGGACTGGACGGCCACCGGAGGCGGTTAGGGGCGCGCGGGCCGGGGCGCGCTGGGTGGAGCGCAGAGCGGCGGACTGGCAGGCTTGGCGGCTCCCGCGAGCCTCCAGGCCGTTATAAAGGCAAGCGCCGCTGTGACTCACGCCGGTGCCCGCCCGGCAGCACACACGGGGGGCACGGCGCAGCACACACCCCACGCCCCACGCGCACACGCGTGCCCGCCCTGGCCCGGCCGGCTCCCAGACGAGCACGTGCTGCGCCCCCCCCCCCCGCGCCCCCGCCCCGGGCGCCACGCAGGCAGCGCTCCCCACGGGGCGCCCCGCTCCGCGTCGTTCCCTTCGCCGTCGCCTCACCGCCGCCTTTCGCACGCGCCGGAATCGCTTTTGTGGTCTGAGACACTCATTTGCTGTCCTGGTTTCCAAAGCTCCACGTGCTCAGCGCCGAAAACTTGTACATCATTTGCTCTACAGATGTTTACCGGGTGCCTACTACGTGCCAGGCGTTGTGGAAACATAGCAGGCGGGGAGGGGGGGTGAGGGGGTGGAAGCAGCCCCTGAATCCGTTCGTTTGCTCAGCAGGTCTATACCCGGCGCCCACTGCGTGCCAGGTACTGCCACCGGCTGTGTCCTTATGGTGGAATAACTTAACAGAGAAGACAGACATCAATCAAATGCCCTGGAAACGTGGAAGGCAGGGGGGAAGAACAAAGGGAGAGCAAAATCGCCCCAATCCCACACCCTCGACAACATGGAAGGATTTGTCCTTCCAGCTGCGGGAGTCCTGTTTGTTTCTTTCATGTCAGATGCCTTCCCTTTATGCCCACATCTGTTCCCGACCCTCTCCTCTGACTTTCCTCACATGTAATTTCCTCCCCTCTCCAGCCCCGCGCCAGCTCCAGGCCCAGTGGTTCAGGGTGATGCCAAAGGGAAATGAGAATGCCTGCTTTTGAGTGCCAGCCTGAGGCCCCTTAAGCCCTAGGGCAGCTCTCTTCTTAACTTTCCAGCCCAGGAAGATCACCCTTTGGTCTTACACATGTAGTAGGGCGTTACTGTGATTCGTTCATTCATGTAAACATGAAATGAGTTTCTAGTGGGTTCCAGGCACACCAGGAAAGGACAAATGACAGATTTGCCCTCCACCTCTGACCCTGGGCTGGCTCCAAGAATTCTAGCCCGTTTCCCTCAACAAAATTTCTATCAAGAATACCTAGATGTGACTACACCAAACTTGCTTGCCCGTTTTGGGAAACCCAACTTTCTTCCTGAATAAGCAGAACCTCTGGCTTTCCTGGTCTCCTAAGAACCACAAACTGCCGAAAAGCAGATGCATCTTTCAGCCTCTATATTAAATGCAGTAAGGAGAGCTGAGACAGAGTTACTTTCAGACTGTGGGGCTCCCCCATGCCAAAGCATTCAGACGACATGTGGGGGTTGGGGGGTGGGGCAAAGGCAAGCAACTATCTGAATGTTAAACATCTGAATACGTGGAAACCCCAATCTTTGGCTGATTTTTGAAAACCTTTTTCACACATGTTCCCATGTTTAAGAAACACCCCAAACAGAAAACACAAAAGGAGACAAAGCCTTTTTTCAACTTAAAAAAAAAAAATGTTAAAATTGGACTCACAGTGGAATAAGTAGAAACAGTAGCAAGTGACAGACTTGTGGAAAGTTTCCTTTTCCAGTATCCATGCCAACGTTAGCTTGGGAACGCTGCCGGCTAAATGTAAAAACCAGTCAACATGGATTTTAACATTCCTATGACTTTTTTTAATGGTCTATTTCATATTCGCTACTATTGAATGCCAGCTTGGGTATTCCCTGCTTCTTCAAGCATAGAAAATATGATATGTCTACATAGGAAAAATCAGATTTCAAGTGGCTGGCTTCTTACGCAGCTGTTTGGGAAACAGTCCTCATAAAGCTGTTTTGAAACAAGGCTGAAAAAAAAAGAAACAAGTTTGGAAACACTTAAAAATAGGGTTGGTTTAGTTTCATGTTGTTTCTTTTGGAAATTTTAATTGTTTTAATGCTTTAGAGAAGAAATGAAGGCTCTTGATATGTCATCTTTGTGTCTGAGGCCAAGTTGAACATTGAAGTCTGGCTTCAATTGTTACAAAGGAAAAAATGAGAAAAATGAGTTTGGATTAGTCCATTAAAAAAGGTAGGCGGTGCAATTTAGCAACGACAAATAGAAATGGAAGAGTAGTTTATTGATTCTGTTCTATTACTGTGACCTGTTGATCTTGCCACATGATCAATTCTGCCCAGGCATAACTGTATCAGGTGAAATGAGCCTGTGTGTATAAAGTGTAGCCTACCATATTCCAGCAGACTATCCAGGCTCCGCTTAAATGAAAACACAATCTAGGAGGGTCTATAGAACCCTATGTTTGTGAGACAGGCTGTCCTGGATTGGAATCCTGTGTGACCACTGGGCAAGTTACATAACCTTTTGAAGCCTCTGTTTCCTCTCCTACAAAATGGGTATAAAATACCAACCCCATAGGCTACAACCCCTGTGGAATTTAATAATACCTGCAAAATGCTTATCACAGTGTCTAGAACAGACTGGGAGCTCTGTCAGGGTTACTTCTAATTAAGCCTTATTATTTGGTCTCCCCTGACAATTTCAGCCAATGCTGTGCTGATATAGATCTTTTCTGTCTTGCCCGCTATATTAGATTGTATACTTTTTGTGATTAGGATCCTTGTTTCTAATTTTGTATGCATCCCTCTTGGCACATAGCATGATAATAGGCATATGGCAGGCATTCAGTAAGTAGTGACCAACAACAGGAACATATCCCAGGAAGGACAGTCCAGAGATAGTTACAAGATGATGATATACAGTATAGACTCATGTCATTCATATGAATCCATTAAAGGTAGTCACCAAAAAGCAAGAGAGATGGAAGCTACCTGGTACAGGTGATTCAGCCTACCCCTCTACCTGGGGGCCATGTGACTGGAAAGAGGTGAGCTTGGAGACACAGATCTATCTCCTGGCAGTCAGTCTGGGACTCAGGCTGACTAATAAGGCTCCATTTTTAACACGTGCTTCATGATTGCCAGTGTAGTGGCCTGTATTGTGTGTCCCCTAGAAAGCTGTTTTCAAGGCCTAAGTCCTGGTGCCTGTGAATGTGACCTTATTTGAAAATCGGGTCTTTGCAGATGTAATCAACTTAAGATAAGGCCATGTTTTATTAGGGTGGGTTCTGAATTCAGTGACTGGTGTCTTCATAAGGGAAAAGAGAGGGACAGTTGGATACAGAGACATAGAAGAGACTACCCCGCAACACAGAGGAGAACACCAAGTGAAGGTAGGGGCAGAGATTTGATTGATGTTTCTACAAGGCAAGAAACACCACGGGTTGCCAGCAGCCACCAGGATCTGAAAGATCAAGGAAGGATTCTTCCCCAGATTCTTCACAGGGAGCACTGCCTTGTCCACTCATTGATTTTTGGACTTCTAGTCTCCAGAATCACGAGAGAATCAGTTTCTATTGTTTTAAGCTACCCAGTTGTGGTAATTTATTATGACAGCCATGGGAAACTAACATAGTTGGGTGCAGCCAGAGGGCTGTACACCAGCTTTCTCTGCCTGGAATTGATGCCTATCACTTTTGTTCACTTTTTAGTGACCAAAACAAGCCACATGACAGTCTTTCTTCAAGAGGACAGACAGTGCAACTCTGTCACTGGTTTTGGAAGACAACAAGGTATCAGGTGAGCCGTGCTATATTCTACAGGAAATGAATCGTTCATGGCTTGGACTCCTTAATGAGCATAATGAACTTTGAATGATATTAGTAATTGCTATTATAAATAATAATGCATAATTTCCTTTGTATTTTTTTCTAGTTCAGTATTCTTTATACCAGAATTATACAAAGACTCTGAAAGTGAGTAAATGTGTAAGCTAATACTTTCTTTTAGGTGAGTAGTAAACCACAATTTATTCATTCAACAGGTATTAACTAAGACGTACTGTATTCCAGATGTTGTGTGCAGCATAGGGGGTACAAGGGAGAGCATATGAGGAACGCTGAAGCTTTCCTTAAAGCACTGGAATCTGAGATTAGAGCTGAAGCTTATGCAGAATTTAACTGAGATGAAGAATAAAACAGTGCTGGTGCAGTGGCTCATACCGGTAATCCCAACACTTTGGAAGGCCCAGAGAGGAGGATTGCTTGAGCCCAGGAGTTCTAGACCAGCCTGGACAAAACAGGAAGACCCCCATCTCTACAAAAAATTTTTAAAAATTAGCTGGGAGTGGTGATGGGCAGCTATAATCCCAGCTATGTGAAGAATCAAGGTGGGAGGATCACTTGAGCCCAGGAGGTCAACACTGCAGCGAACTGTTATTGTACCACTGCACTCTAGCCTGGGTGACGAGACCCTGTCTCAAAAAAATATAAAAATACAAACTAAAACAACAGACTTGGAGGATGGCTGGGCATTCCAGGCAGTGCTGACAAAAGGGTAGCCAATGTGGCCCAAGGAATGAGCCTAAAGGGAAGTGGGGAACAAATACGGAGCCAGAGAGATGTCAGGGACCCTTTGCAGGGTCCTATGTAGGCCACACAAAAGATCTTGCTTTGCCTGGTCAGTTGAAAAGGAGAAAAATGTAAGAATGGGGCAAGTGTGACATGAGCAGCTTTCCTAAGGAAGACCTCACTGCAGTGTGACTCAGCCGGTCCACAGCCCAACACCTTCCGGCACCCTCCAAACCCCTTTGGTTGAAGGCAACTCTATGCTTCCAAAGATGGCCTTGGAATCATCTTTAACCCCTCTTTTTCTCACACCTAAGGTCCATCTGTCTGGAAATCTTGTTGCCTTTTGAAGGCAAACCTACTTTGCCTTCAATATGATATTGTAGATTATCATATTAGTGATAATATATTTTATAATAAAACATAAATACAAAATAAAATAGAATATATTCTAATAAAATATATCCAGCCACTTTACCCTCTGTCATGCTACCTTTCTTGTTCTGAGTCCCTGTCACCTCCAGCCTGGATTACTGTCACTGTCATTACCGCAAGACTGGCCTCCCAGGTTCATCCTTGCCCTCTATATTCTATTATCAACGCAGTTGCCACACCTTTTTTTTTTTTTAAAGTAAGTCAGACTCTTTGCCCCAAACCCTGTGGTGGTTTCTCGTTTCTCTCACAGAGACCTTCTGATCCTTGACTTCATATACTACTCCTACCCCTTGTCTTCCTGCCAGCTCTGCTCCTGCCACACGGGCCCCCTGGAGGTTTCTAGAACACACAGGGTATGCTCCCACTTTGGGATCTTTGTTCTAGATCTTCTTGTCAGGTTGCTCTTTCCCTAAATAGACAGGCACATGGCTGACTCCCTCGTCCCTTTTGAATGTTTGCTCAAATCTCACCTTTGCAAGGAGGCCTATCCTAACCATCCTTATTTACATTTGCAACTGCCCCAGCACTCCAGATGCCCTTTACTCCTTTTATATTTCACTTTTCCCTAGCACTAAGGCCTTCTAGCATATTCTATTATATATTATGTTTTCTGTTTGTTGCCTTACTGCCCCTACCTCCCTACACATATACCAGAATCTAAGTTCCACAGGATAAGGGATATTCAAAAACTTTGGTCCTTTCACTAATTTATTTCCAGTACCTAGAAAGATGCCTGGCACATAGTAGGCACTCAGTAAATATTTGTTGAACAAATGGCAAAAAATATAGAGAAGAGACTGGAGAGTGGCTGAGAGCAGGCCTGACGGGAGGCTACAGCAGCGGTTCAGGTGGCTTCTGCTACCGGTATTGGCAGCAAAGAGGGAGAGAAGTGAACTGATTCACTTAAAAAGTAGAACAGGTGGAGAGCTGGACATGGTGGCTCATGCCTGTAATCCCAGAACTTTGGGAGGCCAAGGTGGGCAAATCAGTTGAGGTCAGGAGTTCGAGACCAGCCTGGCCAGAATGGTGAAACCCCACCTGTACTAAAAATACAAAACAGCCTGGCACAGTGGCTCATGCCTGTAATCCCATCTACTCAGGAGGCTAAGGCAGGAGAATCACTTGAACCTGGGGGGTTGCAGTGAGCTGAGATAGAGCCACTACATTCCAGCCTGGGTGACAGAGCAAGACTGCATCTCAAAAAAAAAAAAAAAAAAAAAAAGTAGAACAAGTAGAGTTTACCATTGGTTAAGA